ATTTTGGAGAAACATCAGCTTTATCCTCACCTTGATGACATATTTTCTCAGTTTTTGTGTCATAGGACAACATTTACTTTCCATAAACCCCTATTTAGAAAATGTGTTGAAATCAACAGAAAGAAAATTACAAAACAAGTAGGAATGAGAAACAATCTAACTTTTCTGTGGTCTGTTTAGTTACTGTAATATGTGTGCCATCTGCAGTTTTGGTCTTACGTCTCTGTCCTTGGTGCTGAACCTTTTAGTAGCTGCTAGCATTTACAGCTCTCTTCTTTACTTATTTGTTTGTTTATTTATTTATGTCTTATTTAATTGATGCTAATATTGAATATATTCTGTAAATGGCCTAATCAAGTTTTATGATATCTCTGGAGAGTTTGATGCTTGATACAATTTAATTGATTTTTTGAATATTATCTTAGGAACAGCTTTTAATGCCAGTTAATACCACAACTAAATTAAATAACTTGCAGAGGTGATTTTTATTTAAATAGAATGTTCATGATTAACCATTTTAGCATGGTACTTGATCAGAATTAATTAATTTTTTATTGAAACATAGTTTGTGGAAAGGTTATTTAAAATTATTTAAGACACTCAAATGGGGTTTTTATTTCTTTTAAACAGACTTTATTACACTGGGTTCGTTTAAGATAATTCTATAATTGGTTTTGATTAAGTTGGTAGATGTTATTATTCACCAAGATACTTAAACTCTGAAACTTGGCTTGTGTTTTTAATCAGTTATTATTTTGATTTTTTCGTCCTACATTTGAATCAGTTATTAACATTTCTCTCTCTAATTCAATTATTTTTAGGCAACATTTAATGTTGCATCATGCATTATTGTAGCTGATACTTTCACCTATACGTATTCAATTTTCAATTTTCAAATGTCTACCTTTAATTTTGACAAATATTTTATTCAGTCAATTCTTAAAATATGATTTGGGTTTCCACAGGCTGTCTGAATTATTACTAGGTCTTACTGTTAATTAAAAGTCTAATCTCCTTCCTTTTCTTATTCAGAAATGTTGTTAAATAAAAGGCATAACATTCTGCCGGATATTCAAAGACATTTACTGAACTCTGGATTTATGGTTATTTTATTTTGGTCACAATTTCCGAGCTGCTTCTCAGCGGAAATTATTTCATCCCATCTTTGTCTTTCTGATGCAGTTATTTTTATTATTGTGCTGTGCCTTTTCTGCTCTCATGGCGTCGCCATCCGCCTTATAACGTGAAGATTTGTCTCCTCCACTCTTTGTTAAGACTGATTCGAGGGGATTTTTTTCTCATTTCGAGTCAGCTCGTGCTTTGCGCTCTGTCTCCCTGGAAGCTGCGTTTATTTCTATTTTTAACAGACAGGATTCCTAAATATCAAGTCGGGGGTTGCATTTTCTTCACTAATCCACCTTCTCTCATCCATCATGGAGCGTCGAATTACTTTCTTTGTTTTCGTTTTATTGGGGAATGTCGCAAATGGTGACGTGAGCTTTTCGTTTCAAGAGGAAATGAAGCGTGGATCTGTTATTGGAAACATAGCGAAGCATCTGAGTCTGGATTTGCGTAAACTATCATTTAGAAATGCTCGCGTGGATGCGACAGGAAACCGCAAACATTACTGTGATGTAAACGTGAGCACTGGAGATCTAATAGTGGCCGAGAGGATTGACCGAGAGGAGCTTTGTGGAGAAAAACTGTCGTGTGTGATCAAACGGGATCTTGTTCTGGAAAATCCTCTTGAACTGCACCCTTTTAATCTCCATATTCAGGATATTAATGACAATTCTCCGCTATTTAATGAAGCGTCTTTTAAAATAGAAATTCAGGAGTCGGCAAGTAAAGGAGCTCGGTTTGTGATCGAGGAGGCGCATGATGCGGACGTAGGACAGAATGCAGTTCAGGAGTACAGCCTCGAACGTAACGATCATTTTATTTTGGATTCTGGTGGAAATAAGATAGAGCTTGTTCTAGATAAGGAGCTTGATCGTGAAAAGCGGAAGGAAGTAAATTTATTGCTGACAGCTTTAGATGGAGGATCTCCTCAGAGATCAGGAACTGCGGTTATTCATGTCATTGTGCTGGATGCTAATGATAACGCCCCAGTGTTCAGTCAGGAGGTTTATAAAGCCAGTCTGCCTGAAGACTCTCCTTTAGACACTCTAGTGGTCACAGTTAGTGCAGCTGATGCTGATGAGGGACTGAATGGAGATGTGACTTATGATTTTGGTCACGTGTCTGAGGATGTAAAGAAAGTTTTTCAAATTGACCATAAAAATGGTCAAATAAAACTTATTAGTGCAATCGATTTTGAAACTGTTACATCATATGATTTACGCATTAAAGCGAAGGATGGATTAGGATTGTCAACATACACAAAAGTTACCATAGATGTCATTGATGTCAATGATAACATCCCTGTAATCTACATCAAGTCTCTAACTAACCCAGTGCCAGAAAGTGTGCCACCAGGAACAGATGTAGGAATTATCAATGTGCAGGATGCAGATTCTGATAATAATCAACAGATCCGTTGCACTGTACATGGAAATGTTCCTTTTAAGTTGGTTCCTTCTATCAAAAACTATTATTCTCTGGTGACCACAGGACAGCTGGACCGTGAACTAGTGTCTGATTACAACATTACAATCAGTGCCACTGACGAGGGCTCTCCACCTCTGTCCTCCTCTAAAACTGTTCAGTTATCTGTAGCTGACATCAACGACAACCCACCTGTGTTTGAGGAGCAGTCCTACAGCGCTTATGTGAGTGAAAATAACAAACCTGGCTCCACTTTATGTTCCGTTAGTGCTCGAGACCCGGACTGGAGACAAAACGGTACCGTGATTTATTCTCTGTTACCTGCTGAGGTGAACGGTGCTTCGGTGTCCTCCTATCTATCAGTTAACGGAGACACGGGGGTGATCCACGCTGTCAGGTCGTTTGATTATGAACAGCTGAGGAGTTTTAAAGTCCACGTGATGGCCAGAGACAACGGTTCTCCTCCTCTCAGCAGCAACGTGACCGTGAGTGTGTTCGTATCAGATGTGAATGACAACTCTCCTCAGATACTGTACCCCGCCCCGGAGGGCAGCTCCTTCATGACCGAGCTGGTCCCCAAAGCTGCACACGGAGGCTCTCTGGTGTCCAAAGTGATAGCGGTGGACGCGGACTCTGGACAGAACGCCTGGCTGTCCTATCAGATAGTCAGATCCACTGATCCGGGACTTTTCACTATCGGTGTGCACAGCGGAGAGATCAGGACGCAGCGGGACATTTCTGAATCTGACAGCATGAAACAGAACCTGATTGTAGCAGTGAAAGATAACGGACAGCCCTCTCTGTCTGCCACCTGTGCCATGTATTTACTGATTTCTGATAACTTGGCTGAGGTGCCAGAGCTGAAAGATATTTCTTATGATGACAAGAACTCCAAACTGACCTCGTATCTGATCATTGCGCTGGTGTGTGTGTCCACCTTCTTCCTGACCTTCATCATCATCGTCCTGGGTGTGAGGTTTTGTCGCAGGAGAAAGCCCAGACTGTTGTTTGATGGAGCAGTGGCCATTCCCGGAGCTTATCTCCCTCCTAATTACGCAGATGTTGATGGAACAGGAACTTTACGCAGCTCCTACAACTATGACGCCTACCTGACAACAGGATCTAGAACCAGTGACTTTAAGTTTGTGTCATCTTACAATGACAACACGCTGCCTGCTGACCAGACTCTGAAGAAAAGTCCCTCTGAGTTTGCTGATGTGTTTGGAAGTTGTGATTCTTCCCCTGAGGTAAGAATAGGTCAGATGTTACCCATGTGAGCTTTGTCGTGAAAGAAAACAGGAACTTGTTGTGCTGTTTCAATATCACTTAAGCTTTGTGTGTGTGTGTGTGTGTGTGTGTGTGTGTGTGTGTGTTTGTGTGTGTGTGTGTTTGAGTGTTTGTGTGTTTGTGTTTGTGTGTGTGGATGGGTGGGGTGTCAAATATACAAATTGAAGTTAAGAAATTTCTATTGTAAGTGCTTACAGCTGTTTTTGGAATGCTGGGTCTACATTCCACACAAAAAAAAAACATTAGTAATGACACCTTTGTCCACCGTGGTTTCAAATTCTGGTTCTAATTGAAGGAGGGAGGATTGAGTTAATGAACTAACTGAAAGCCTGGCTTGTGGTGTTAGAGGTAGAGGAAGAATAGTAGATGGCCAAGCCCTGACCACTGATGAATCTTAGCAGAGACTTTCGGTGAACATAGTCTGGAGCGTCCAATGAAGATGTAGAGTGTTTGATTCATGATGCATTTAGTAAGAAGAAGGTTTCATTTGGATAAGCAAATTGAGCATTTTTGATATTTTTGGTTGAGAAGTTATTTCAAGTAAGGTTTGGCCTTTCCATATTTGCATTGATGAGTATGAAGAGAAATCTTGCTTTTCATCTTGGTGGGGATGGCAATATAAATGTGCATATTGTCCTCAATCATTGGCCCTGTATTCAGGATCTTTGGCAGATATTGTGAAAATTTTAGAACCTCTGAAGTGTCAGCTACCCAAAAGAAGAGCCATGTACTATGTAGAGGTGTTTAGCTGCAGGTGACTGTGGCACATACAAGCCTTTTACTCTTCCAGAGATATCACAAGATGAAGTAAAGATGATCAGAATGACAAACACATGCAGATGAGCTAGAAACTGCAGCAATTGTTTAGATATGCAGCTGTGTGCCACCAATATAACAATGAAGAGAGAGAGTCTTCAATGACTTATAACATGGCTGATAGGAGAAGAGGTAGAAGATGAAGAGAACAGGGCCATGAACTGAACTCTGATGGATCCCACCAGTAACCGTGGGTGAACCTGATCAGAAGTCTCAAACTGAGAGGTATTGCATTTGATTTGAAGTATTAACCAACTGAGGACTGTGTCTGAGTCTAATGATGTGGTGAAGCCACTTTAGGAGGATTCTATGATCAGTTGCAGACAGATCAAGGAGAAAGAGAAGAGAGCAACAGCCAGTATCTGTAGACATTTAGAGGCCACTTGTGACTCTTGCTCAAGCTGTTTCAGTGCTGTTGCCAGAACAGAACCTGGGGCCTCATTTATAAACCAAACTTGTGCACCGATCTGTGCGTATTTCATGTGTAGAACTAATTTATGCATTGTGTGGTATTCATCATTTTGTAATGTTCCTAAATATAAGAAACTTCAGACATGCTGAGGAACAGCATCTAGTGGTAGAACGGAGGAACAGCAACACTAAAGGTCTCAGTCATCTACACGTTCCTCATCCACAAATTATTTTACCCAATAAGATGTGTCACATAGTTGGTGCCAAACCCCCCACATGGGAATTTGACATTGTAGAATGAATTTCATGTTTTTGATCACAATTGTTACTCTTCCCATTTTTATGATGATCTTAATTGTTTTTAATTAATGAAAGGCAGAAGAGCAGGCAACAGTTGAAAAAATAAAAATGTTTTAATTGTAGAAACGGGAGCGACAGGACAAACGAACATGCACAAAATGACAATGATCCAACGAAGACAGCAACAAGGAGGGAGGTATAAATACACAAGGGAATCAGGAACACATGGGCAGAGTAATGAGGGACAGGTGAGAACAATAAGGCTAATCAAGGCAGGAGAGACACAGTCAGGGAGGCCGGGGTGGATCATGACAGATACCAGAAATGGATGTGTGATTTAATAAGATGTGTGGATAATGAGTGGATTTATTGACTACTGGTCTCATCATGGCATTTTATGGCTGGAGGAACATGACCAGTTTGCTCGGAGTGCTTCACACTCAAAGTAATGATGGAACAGACGCGTCTTCACCAAGGACTGGGTCCAGGAAGCAAGCAGAAGATTTCCTTTCTAATAAAGCCTATTTATTGCTTCCAGTGGTACTTTAGTTCAGAATGTATTTTAGGACAGGTGGAGTCTGAACAATCTGTTTGTAGGGAAGCCAGTCGAAACAGAGGAAATAGATAATGTAAGATGTAGAGAAAGCAAATATATAATCACACTTTTGTTCAGTGGAGGCTGTGGATGGTAGAGATTGGAGTTTAACAAGATAGTTAGCTAATCTAACAGTTAGCTTCTACTAGCCGAGATATTCTCTGCTGTTTCCTAGATGCTAAACCAACAGCAGCTTTCCGCGTTGCAAGTCATGATGGGTGAGTCCATGAATGTTAGTGACAGTGTTACAGAGATCTGTCAGGTTTTTCAAATCCTAGAGTTTCACTGTCTAATTTTTATCAGTGAGAGGCCTCCTTTAACCGGGGAAGCAAACAATGTGTGTTTCATCAACATATTCTCAGACCCGAAGCGTCCAAACATGATGTTGAGGGACCAAGCATTTGTTTTCGATGCATTAGGAGCATCAGGAGGCGTCAGTTTCCGACACCTGCGATAACATTTCACTGACATTTAACCTCTAACCTCTTGCTATTTAACCTTCCCCTCACCCCCAAACTAACCATGACCTTGTTTCTCATTCTAAACTTCCTGTTAACAATGTTTGAGAGGGATGTTACAACTAGAAACTAAGTTTTGCATGCACAAGTGGGTTAAGCTTAGGATGGGGGAGAGGGGAAGATTAAATAGCTAAAGGGTAAAGGTCAGAATTCGGTAACATCTCCATTTTGTCGTGGAATTTGGAAAGTGACGCTCTGGCACAGCTCCCAAAACAAACGCTTGGTCACCCGTCATCATTTTTTGACACTTTGAGTGTGAGAATGTGTTGGTTTCATGGGGGCATTCACATCAACAAGGCTACTGTGGGTGAGGTATTAGTTCACTGCTTCATCAGCTTTAGGAAAGATAGGTTGAGAAAAGGTTGGAGTTCTGCTCCAATCATATGAGGATTTGGATATTTCTAAAAGAAATACTTAGCATTTAGACCTAATGAGACGAGATGAAAATAATACACATTCATGGGAACCACTTTATGAGAGGACACAACCAGATCACAAACAAGCTGAGGAGTGGAGCAGAGTTTGTGATGAGCAGATCTATAGTGTACTCCTTGTTGTATGTATAGCTACTGAAAAGCTGCTTTAAATGGAAACAGTCCAATAACTCAGGGAATTTCGCTGCACTGTGATGGGAATTTCGCTGCACTGTGATGAGAGCGTGTGGGAATATGAATGTTCATGTCTCCCAGGATTAGGATATTTGCATGGGGTCGCAGATGGTTGTATATCTGACGAATCAGCGTTGTTGTTGAGGGTGAAGATTATTCTTCCTGAAGGAAAATGATGGAAAACATGAACTCATTTTTGACAAAAGCTTTTTTGCCTTTTATTCTACTGTGCTTCATTTTTAATCATTTGAAGAAAAAAAAAATATATATATATTTCTGTGTTAAACGTTTGGATTGTTTCTTTTTCATTGCTTCCTCATCAAATCAGTGGTATTTGTTACAGTGATTTAGACATTTAAATGAGACATCAGATTAAATTATCACACAAAAAATCCATGCCAAAAGAGGCATACATATTCTTTGGTAATGTAAATTCAAGCAAATCAGCAAATGTATCAGGGGAGATGGCTTGTTTAAACTCACAATTTAAAACTATGTGGTTTGGGCTGGACTGGACCATGAACTCAAGAGCCAAAGATGTTTAAAAGAAGTAAAAAGCATGCTACATCTTCATTTACTATTGTGTCTGTTATTTGTGGTGATCCATTGCAGCCTAGGCATTTCTCTGAAAGTTTACCTGCACAGTTGTGCCCTTGATTTGTCTGAAGTCTCATCTGTTGATTGAAATAATAATTTAAAATGAAGAAACTAAAATGGCTTCATAGAACCTTTAAAGCACTTTTGAACAGTCTTGAAATATTATTTAATCCAAACAGATACCCTTCAGGACATAGCTCTGCCCTTTCCATAATCCAAAGTGTGCCTCCCACTTATTGTATTTGGGTTATTTAACTTTTTGATTTATATATGTTGTTGGTTATTTTGGGTGTTTAAATGTTAAGTTAAAACTGTGCAGGAGTCCAGCTGCAGTGTTACAGGAGGGGGTGGCAACATGAATGTTCATGTCCCCCAGAATTAGGATTATTTTTTTGAGGATGTGCGGAGGCTGGTGAGGAAGTGGAACATTTCTAAATCTGGTTGCTTTTAGTCAGTCTTCTGGTTCGCACTTGAGGGTGGAGCGTCTTCATCTTGAAGGAAGATGATAGAATATTTGACCATAATACTTGATTTGACCAAAGCCTTTGTGCAGTTTATGCTAATTAACTTTCAATGTTTAATTTTATTTTTTTGAAAGCATTTTAATATATAATTTTTGTAGGTGTGTTGATTTTGGTCAGTGACTAATGTTTTCTTACCTAATCAGTGACAACTGTCATGATTTAAACATATAATCACAAAACCAGGATTAACACATCACACAAGGCCAAACAAACTTACTCCTTTATTGGCTGCTGTGGCTTAAATCATTCAGATTAAAAATGTATTCATGCCAGTATAGCTTCCTTGGACTCAATGCTCAAAACTCCTGTGGCTGGACTGGACCTTTAGGCCAAAACCTGAAGATCTCAGAAAAAACAACAGCTATGAGTTCAATTCTGCTACTAATTACATCATGTATGAGTTTAATAATGCATATAAACTACCCTGTAGTAGGCTCTCGTCTCATTTCACTCAAAGTCCGACTGCATAGCTGTGTTCTTCATCAGTAGAAATGATCTCATTTGTCAATCGAAATTAAGACATTAAACAGAAGGAACACATGCTCTGATATAACAAGTAATTAACATTTTACATTTTTTTCATATTATCTGTGCTCTTTCTGATAAAATTAAAGGAGGACACAAAATACAGATGACTCCTTTGCAATTGTTGCCCACCACTACTCATGGTCTATACTATATCTTATGTGTGTCTTTTCTAATAATAATCCATTTATTTGTGTTATTGTTTCATTAAGAATGAGAAGGGAAGCCCTGTGCAGATTGATGTGAGCTATACCTTTGATAATGTTTTCTGTAAAAATAAACGTTGTGGGATCAGATATATTTTAAAACAATTAACAATACATTATTTTTAATTTGCAATTCTGTCACATGAGAATAACACTGTATTTGAACTAATTAAAGAGGTTTTCATAATGACATAAAACATATTAAGTTTCAGCACTAAAATAGTTGCTGAAGAGTTTGATCATTTCTATGCAGTGGTTATATTTTATTTCTACTCAAGGTGTCAGTATAGACCAGATAAGCGTGTAACATTGACCGTGCTTGTCTTACATCCTCCATTACTGGGATTGGTCGGTGTGTGTTCTGTGCTATTTAAGACTGGTGGTCACAGCGGAGAGAAAATCATAGATTTGTGAGGAAATTATTTTACGGGTAAAAACGTAGTTTTGTCGCTTGTGGCATTAAGCTGCGCAACGATGGCATTTAGTCTGCGAATCGCATTAATCTGCGGACTCTTTGTTTTCTTTGTGCTGCACTGCGCTCACGGAGACCTGACCTATTCAGTCGAAGAGGAGCTGAAACACGGATCTGTCATTGGAAATATCGCAAAGGATTTGGGACTGGATTTCGGGAGACTGGCTGCGCGTAAAGCGCGTGTCGAAATGGAAGGAACTGATAAACAGTATATAACAATCAACCAGAAAAATGGGGATGTGGTCGTTGTAGGGAGGATAGACAGAGAGGAGCTTTGCGGGGAGAAGCCGACATGTGTTCTCAAATTCGATCTGCTTTTAGAAAATCCTCTGGAATTACAACGACTGTCTCTCCAGGTGCAGGATATAAACGATAATTCACCCGTTTTCCAAAAGGATGTAATGAAGCTGGAAATCGGAGAATCAGCCGATAAAGGAACAAGGTACCGTGTGACTGCTGCTCATGATTCAGACATAGGCCAGAACTCCGTTCAAAGCTACGTTTTGAATAAAAACGCGCACTTCGTGTTTAATATTCAGACATCCAGCAGTGGCAGCAAATATGGAGAGCTGGTTTTGGATAAAGAGTTAGACCGAGAAGATCAGAACGAACTGAGACTGCTGCTCACAGCTGTAGATGGAGGATCTCCTCCTAAATCTGGGACTGTAGTTATTCATGTCACTGTGCTGGATGCTAACGATAATGCTCCCGTTTTTACCGAGTCTGTTTATTCAGCCAGGTTACCGGAAAACTCTCCGGTAAAAACTCCAGTTGTTACAGTTAGTGCAACAGATGCAGATGACGGTGTTAATGGAGAGGTCACGTATGAATTTAGCCGACTGTCTGATAAAGCAGGGAAGCTTTTTTCTATTGATCAGAAATCTGGAGTAATCTTTGTAACAGGTGACGTAGATTATGAAGAAGGTCCTAGATATGAAGTTATGATTGAAGCTAAAGATGGATACGGACTAACCTCAGAAGTTAAACTAATAATTGACATAATTGATGTGAATGACAACGCCCCACTGATTAATCTAAAGTCCCTGTCCAACCCGGTACCTGAGAACGCACCACCTGGTACAGAGGTGGGCATCATCAACGTGCAGGACAGAGACTCTGAGAAGAACCGACAGGTCCGCTGCTCCATCCAGCAGAACGTTCCTTTTAAGTTGGTTCCTTCCATTAAAAACTATTATTCTCTGGTGACCACAGGACAGCTGGACCGTGAACTAGTGTCTGATTACAACATTACAATCAGTGCCACTGACGAGGGCTCTCCACCTCTGTCCTCCTCTAAAACTGTTCAGTTATCTGTAGCTGACATCAACGACAACCCACCTGTGTTTGAGGAGCAGTCCTACAGCGCTTATGTGAGTGAAAATAACAAACCTGGCTCCACTTTATGTTCCGTTAGTGCTCGAGACCCGGACTGGAGACAAAACGGTACCGTGATTTATTCTCTGTTACCTGCTGAGGTGAACGGCGCGTCGGTGTCCTCCTATCTATCAGTTAACGGAGACACGGGGGTGATCCACGCTGTCAGGTCGTTTGATTATGAACAGCTGAGGAGTTTTAAAGTCCACGTGATGGCCAGAGACAACGGTTCTCCTCCTCTCAGCAGCAACGTGACCGTGATTGTGTTCGTATCAGATGTGAATGACAACTCTCCTCAGATACTGTACCCCGCCCCGGAGGGCAGCTCCTTCATGACCGAGCTGGTCCCCAAAGCTGCACACGGAGGCTCTCTGGTGTCCAAAGTGATAGCGGTGGACGCGGACTCTGGACAGAACGCCTGGCTGTCCTATCAGATAGTCAGATCCACTGATCCGGGACTTTTCACTATCGGTGTGCACAGCGGAGAGATCAGGACGCAGCGGGACATTTCTGAATCCGACAGCATGAAACAGAACCTGATTGTAGCAGTGAAAGATAACGGACAGCCCTCTCTGTCTGCCACCTGTGCCATGTATTTACTGATTTCTGATAACTTGGCTGAGGTGCCAGAGCTGAAAGATATTTCTTATGATGACAAGAACTCCAAACTGACCTCGTATCTGATCATTGCGCTGGTGTGTGTGTCCACCTTCTTCCTGACCTTCATCATCATCGTCCTGGGTGTGAGGTTTTGTCGCAGGAGAAAGCCCAGACTGTTGTTTGATGGAGCAGTGGCCATTCCCGGAGCTTATCTCCCTCCTAATTACGCAGATGTTGATGGAACAGGAACTTTACGCAGCTCCTACAACTATGACGCCTATCTGACAACAGGATCTAGAACCAGTGACTTTAAGTTTGTGTCATCTTACAATGACAACACGCTGCCTGCTGACCAGACTCTGAAGAAAAGTCCCTCTGAGTTTGCTGATGTGTTTGGAAGTTGTGATTCTTCTCCTGAGGTAAGAATTTGCCCTTCATAAAAATAAAAAATAAATGAATTGCCTTGAAAAAAGGAATCAGATTATATAAAAATAATTTTCAATTAAATTTGTTTTGTGTTTAATTTGCCTTTTGAATCAGAGTCCAGCTAATGCTGCTTGAAAAATTCTCTTTTTCAATGAGGCTATTACAATAAATTATTATTATTATTATTATTATTATTATTATTATTATTATTAGTAGTAGTAGTAGTAGTAGTAGTAGTCGTAGTCGTAGTAGTAGTAGTCGTATTAGTATTATTAGGAATATTAATATTATTTAAAAGCAACCTAATCCATCTGCATTGTTCCTTTGGGGTCATCTACACTTTTCGTTTTGTATTTCTGTCTTTAGTGCTGAATGTTCTAGTAGCTGCTGCCATTCACTATCTAGTTTTTTGTTTGTTTATTTCCCTTTGTTTATTTCTTTATTTTTTGTTACATATTTATGAGAAATCTTTATCACTGTGAGGAACAGCAAATGTTAAAGTATTTAAGACAATAAAATAAGGTTTTAATTTGTTTTGACATCCTCTATAATAACTGCTTCATATAAAAAGAATTTTGTGTTGGATTTTGCTTGATTTGTTTCATGTTTACCCACCAAGATATTGAAAATAGGCTGGAGTTGTAATAACTTTTTATTTTATTTTGGTATCGTCATTTGTCCAACCTCTTTAAAATCAAATACAACTTATTTGTCTAACTCACCTCGTTTGGTCACCTGCATCATTGAGTGATGTTACAGTCAGTCTAGCCCCTCTTAGCACTCCTCTCTGACAACATGAACCAGTGACTTTAGGTTTGTTTCATCTTGCACGCTACCTGCTGATTACACTGAAGAAAATTCCCTCTAAGTTTGCTGATGTGTTTGTGATTATTCTGCTGATGTTTTAATTTCTTAGTGATTGGCAGCTAATCTACGATGCATTTTGTATCTGCTTTATATGAAGGTGGAGATGGGGTAAGGGAACTTTTATCCCCTGGTTTGTGGTTTCATCTTAGCATTCCTGAACAATCTGGACAAATCCCAGCTAACAAAAATTTGTTGTAAGAACGTTATGGGAATGTTTATTTTGAATGTTGTAAAAACGTAGAAATGTCCAGTTTTTTTAATGTTACTGGAACGGTTGTGTTAACGTTACAAAAACATTGCTGGAATGTTTGCTTAAAGTTGTTTGAATGTTATTTTACAGTTAGCATGACGTTAACAGAACGTTATGGGAATGTTTACTTTAAATGTTGTAAAAACGTAGAAATGTCCAGTTTTTTTAACGTTACTGGAATGGTGTGTTAACGTTACAAAAACATTGCTGGAATGTTTGCTTAAAGTTGTTTGAATGTTATTTTACGGTTAGCATGACGTTAACAGAACGTTATGGGAGTGTTTACTTTGAATGTTTTAAAAACGTAGAAATGTCCAGTTTTTTTAACGTTACTGGAATGGTGTGTTAACGTTACAAAAACATTGCTGGAATGTTTGCTTAAAGTTGTTTGAATGTTATTTTACGGTTAGCATGACGTTAACAGAACATTATGGGAATGTTTATTTTGAATGTTGTAAAAACGTAGAAATGTCCAGTTTTTTTAATGTTACTGGAACGGTGTGTTAACGTTACAAAAACATTGCTGGAATGTTTGCTTAAAGTTGTTTGAATGTTATTTTACGGTTAGCATGACATTAACAGAACGTTATGGGAATGTTTACTTTAAATGTTGTAAAAACGTAGAAATGTCCAGTTTTTTTAACGTTACTGGAATGGTGTGTTAACGTTACAAAAACATTGCTGGAATGTTTGCTTAAAGTTGTTTGAATGTTATTTTACGGTTAGCATGACGTTAACAGAACGTTATGGGAATGTTTACTTTGAATGTTTTAAAAACGTAGAAATGTCCAGTTTTTTAAACGTTACTGGAAGGTGTGTTAACGTTACAAAAACATTGCTGGAATGTTTGCTTAAAGTTGTTTGAACGTTATTTTACGGTAAGCATGATGTTAACAGAACGTTATGGGAATGTTTACTTTGAATGTTGTAAAAACGTAGAAATGTCCAGTTTTTTTAATGTTACTGGAATGGTGTGTTAACGTTACAAAAACATTGCTGGAATGTTTGCTTAAAGTTGTTTGGATGTTATTTTACGGTTAGCATGATGTTAACAGAACGTTATGGGAATGTTTACTTTGAATGTTGTAAAAACGTAGAAATGTCCAGTTTTTTTAACGTTACTGGAATGGTGTGTTAACGATACAAAAACATTGCTGGAATGTTTGCTTAAAGTTGTTTGAATGTTATTTTACGGTTAGCGTGATGTTAACAGAACATTAGCATAACATTACTGGAACGGTTATTTGATTATTAGCATAACGTTCCCGGAATATTTTCATAACATGGCTGCAATACTGCTACAATGTTACCGGAACATTTTGTTAATGTTTGGAAAAACATTGTTGCAGCATTAGCAAAACATTGCTAAAACGTTAGCCTGACATTACCAGAACGTTATCTAAAGGCTAGAAAAATGTTTCTGCAATGTTATCTTAAGGTTAGCAAAACATTGCTGGAACATCAGCATAATGTTTCTGGAACATTATCTTAAGGTTAGCATAACATTGCTGGAACATTGGCATAATGTTTCTGGAATGTTAGGGTTAGGGTTAGCAAAACATTGCTGGAACATCAGCATAATGTTTCTGGAACGTTATCTTAAGGTTAGCATAACATTGCTGGAACATTGGCATAATGTTTCTGGAATGTTAGGGTTAGGGTTAGCAAAACATTGCTGGAACATCAGCATAATGTATCTGGAACGTTATCTTAAGGTTAGCAAAACATTGCTGGAACATCAGCATAATGTTTCTGGAACGTTATCTTAAGGTTAGCAAAACATTGCTGGAACATCGGCATAATGTATCTGGAACGTTATCTTAAGGTTAGCAAAACATTGCTGGAACATCGGCATAATGTATCTGGAACGTTATCTTAAGGTTAGCAAAACATTGCTGGAACATCGGCATAATGTATCTGGAACATTATCTTAAGGTTAGCAAAACAACGCTGGAACATCAGTATTGTCACGATCTGGGGATGTTTAGGACCCAAATATGCTGAAACCCAGGATGACACGAGGCTGGGGAAGATGTAAAGTGAAATCCTTTATTTTAGGAGTAACCAAAAAACAAAAGTAATCCAAAAGGCTGGGAGCCAACAGTCCAAAAATCCAGATAGAGATCTGGAGATCCAAAAATACAAGAGGCACGAGAAGACTAGATCCAAGCACTAGAGGCACGAGAAGAACTTGACAGAATTACAACAAACAACAATGGACCGACAAGACACAGAGACAAGACAGGGCTTAAATACACTGGGGCATAATGGGAGGCAGATGAGCTGCAGGTGTGTGGAGTGTGGGGGGAGGACCAGGTGAAAGCAATGACTAATCAGGGAAGAAACTAACATGACCTAAGAGTGAACCTAAAAACACAAAAGCAACCATATAACTAAAATTCTAAAGGGAAGGAGAACTACAAAAACCGGTGGGACAAAACATATTAAAGAGACTAATAAAAATGAAAAGCTGAAACTATAAACACTGCAGAGGGATGACTGGCTGCAGAGGGGTGACTGGAGAAGACTAAAGGAACACAGGAGACACATAAATGAGATGCAGACAAAGGACATATGAGGGCGATATGAAACACAAAAGGAGAACCTGGAGTGGGAATTGGAGGGGCTGGGGAACAAAGGGACACAGAACACGACAAGTATAATGTATCTGGAACGTTATCTTAAGGTTAGCAAAACAACGCTTGAACATCAGCATAATGATTCTGGAACATTATCTTAAGGTTAGCAAAACAATAATGGAACAGAAGATTAATGTTTCTGAAACGTTATCTTAAGGTTAATATTACTTTGCAGTAACATTAGTATAACATTGCAAAAACTTTTAGTTTCTGAAACCCTTACGAAAAAGAAGTATACTTTAAGTATCTAATTTCAAGTATACTTAAGTGTACATAAGTTTATTTGCATACTTGTTCTTAAAGTTTACTTAGAATTATACTCCTTGGGTCTAAATTGGGCCACTAAAAGTATACTTGAAGTATACTTCAAAGTAATAATTTAAGTTTATTTGCAGTGTACTTCTGATATAATTGAGTACACTTTTCTCTTTGAAAGTATACTTAAAGTAACATCACAAGTGTACTTGGAGTGTACTTCTGATATAATTAAGTATACTTTTGTCCTTGAAAGTATACTTAAAGTAACAATATAAGTTTACTTTTCATACAATTGAGTATACTTTTCTTCTTGAATGTATACTTAAAATATACTTTAAGTAATAATATAAGTTTACTTATAGAGTACTTCAGATATAATTGAGTATACTTTTCTCCTTCAAAGTATACTTAAAAGTAACAGTATAAGTTTACTTCTAATAAAATTGAGTACTTTTGCCCTTGAAAGTATACTTAAAAATAAACTTTAACATTATACGTTTACTTGCAGTGTACTTTTGAAATAATTGAGTATACTTTTCTCTTTGAATGTATACTTAAAATTATACTTAAAGTAATAATATATGTTTACTTGTAGTGTACTTCTTATATAATTGAGTATACTTACAGTTTTGAAAGTACACTTTACAGTAAACTTGACGTAATATTCTTTTAGTAAATTTTAGTATCTCTATTTTCTCTATAAACACATACTGCAAGTAACATTTAACATCTGCTATTTGCTTACTACCAATACATTTAATTTCCACTATTTACTGATACTTCGTCTTTATGCAGAGAAAAAAGTTAATAAAGTAGCTAAGTAATTTTGTTTAAATGTATTAAACAGAGAGAATTAGAACAGAACAAAAACAGACCTGTTTACCAGGATTAATCAAAGATGAGAACGCAAACTGTTCTGAACATGTTTAACGCGTTAATTCTGTCCATTTTGAAAGACTTTTTAAAAATGCCTTTAAAAAAATCAGTCCATTTTATGGATCCACTTGCTTGGTTGTTGATGCCTTTTTGAAGTTTTCATTGTTGCATTTCTTTCGTGTTATTTTTCTTACATCTTGAACGCGCAGAGATGGAAACTTCAACTGAGCATGCCCTGTGAACACACAAAGCAAAAAAATGAACACTTGAACTGTTAGGTGAACTCTGACACCACAAAATCTTTACAGTTCGTACACTGTAAACCCGAATAAGTAGGAAGAACTCAAAAAATGTAAGGCAATCAGTTGCCTCATATTTTCTGAGTTTATAAACTCAGATATTTGAGTACATCAGAACATAAATAAACTTAAATATTTGGAGTTTATATTAAATATATTTTCAAATTATGATCAAATTAAAGTTACAGATTAAGCCAACTCAAACAGAAAATAAAACAAAATTTGAAAGAAACAATTACAAACGAACACTTTTGAAAACTGGACAACAGCAGTGTGTAGTCTTTCTTTGAGTAGGTGGTTTAAAGCAGTGGTTCCCAAACTTATTTAGCCGCGCACCCCCTTCTATGTCCCGACCATGTCGACGCACCCCCCCCCCCCCCCCCCCCCCCCATCGGGGCATGGCTCTATATATATATATATATATATATATATATATATATATATATATATATATATATCAGATGTCAAGCTAAACAGACAGGGTTAAAAAAAATTCCCCATCACTTTCATTTTTTAAATAGTAATTAATAAACATTCGATACCATTACAATTTCCTTTGATTTCATTTTAAATAAATATTTAGAGTGCCCAGGTAGCACATAAAGAATGCAATTTAACGGTTTTCTTAAAATAGGAACGTTTAACCTGTGCGGCCAGAGCGCTCTCCTTCTTTCTGCTCTGCATAAACCTGAGCTGATCACCTACTTGTGCGTATTAATCACATGTCTATAGGGGACAAGATATAGCCATGATGTTCACTTTTACCTCAGACCGACTTATTGCTGTTTTATGGTGTGGCTGAATCTGCGATCCGCTGCCACGCGGACTGGAATAACAAATGCTGC